TTTTCAGATATTATTGTGATCTTAGAAGATATAACTGTGTGTGTGTTTGCTAGTAGTGTATGTGTTCTCGGGAGCTGGCAAGTGTGCCTGGGAGAGAGTTCCCAGCACCTCACACTTGAGCCCTATATTGGTTTGGAAAATAGTAAGTTGTCTTGATGTTTTCTGAGACTCAACACAATAGGAAAGAGAGCTCATCTCTTGATCAAGTTGGTTCTGGGGGATGAAGATGGTTATACTGAATCTTTAAGAAATTTGGAATTCCCCCTAGGTGCAATGTTGCCTTATAGTTAGGACACTTTCCTCTTGCAGAGAGACAGGGTTGATACGAAGAACATATCTTGGCTGTTTGCATAAATTCAGCCATGTCGGAGCCACTGAAAAATACAATCCTTGCCCTCCCTGTCTAAAAAACCCCTGTTCTCCACACTGGGGAGCAGGGTCAAGGACTGCATTTTTCAGAGGCTCCATCATGGGTGAGTGTGGCTAGAACAAAAGTGGGCAGGTCAACTCTTCTCTTACATTTCTTCCCTAGCCTGTGCCTGCCAGAGGAGAGACAGACAGGTGGACCTGGCCTGAACTAATAGCTTGCTGAAGGATGTCAACAGTAGGCCAAGGCTGCAGCTTGTCCCACCTCCTGGATTAGAGGAATAAAAATGTCCTTTGTGTCACTGCCTCTGGTAAACTGATGTGGTCAAGCCTTTCTGGGTTCTTCCTCGCATTGCACAATGTTGTTCCTCAAGATCAGTAAAATAGTTACAGTGCTGAGCTATTGTCAGGAGAGAAAGCACAGGGTATTCTCTCTTGGTAGTCATGAAGAATTTGTAGGTTGATTATGTAACTGTGTGTAGCTTTTGAAACTTCTCAAGCTGCTTGAGCAAGACAATCCAGGAACTTGGATTTTTTATTTTAAACCTTAAATTCCACTTCAGAAGAATAAAGTGTTCCTGAAGCAGCAAACAGTGAAAGTAGTTTTTTAAACAACATAACAAGAGCAGTTAAAGATGAGCAATAATAAATTAAGCCAATACAATTTCCTGTCCAAAGGCTGTTTGAAATAAAATTGCAGCTGGCTTCCTGCCAGCCTTCTGAATATGAAGTCTCAGGTGGGAGGATTATATACCTCATCGCCTAGTTTGGGAAGCTGCCAGAGAATCAGCCAGCTGCAGATCAGAGGGTGAAATGAGAGACCATGATATAGTGGTGCAGAAGGAACATCTCAGTGTCCTGTTCCTCCCAGAATAAAAGGAATGATAGTGGCAAGCTTCCCTTGGTATTGGTGGTGGGATAAGAATGGAAGATAACTTTTATCTCCCATTAGCAATGTATAAGACACTGAGCCCTTCATTTGCTGTGGGATGCAATGAAATTTAGTCATGTAATTATTTTGCCCATGTAAATCTACTTGATCTAAAACTTCTTGCTTTGAGTAATAGGCTTTATGCTATTGGCTTGTTTTTGCTAATTAATATGTGTTTTCTTTTTCACAGGTTAACACATGTCCTGTCAATACAGCTTTGGTGCTAATTCTTTGGTTTCCATTTATGACATTTCAAACTTAAGAGATTCTAATCAGCACATTAAAGTAGTAATTTGTAAGACAGCTGTATAGCAGTAGGTTTATACTGAATGCAACTTAGGCATCCTCTTCAAATCTATCAGCTCAACTTTGGCAATAATTGTATATGCTAATATAGATATTGGGCTGGATCTAGATTTAGACATTCAGTGACTTGATTAACATGTAATGACTAATCATGTATTAATCAAATATCTCATGGTTGATTAAGACTGCTTAATAGTTTTATTTTTGCAGATAACCCAGGAACACCCCATTTCAGGGTTGTTCAATGTGACATCTCAACCTGGTACTCCAGGTTTTTGAGGAAATAAATGACCCAGAACTCAGGGCTGGATTGCATGACAGGATGGCCTGAGAGTTATACACCCCATTGGCTTTTGAGAATGAGCCTCCAGCACACCCACCACTTTTACTCAACAATCCGTAAGGAGCACTTTTTATGTTGCTTGGCATGTTAACTGCTGGGCTGTTTAGCCTCCAGGAAACACCCAGCTTCCAAACGGTTGCTGAGTAAGAGTGAAAGTGGCAGGTGCATAGGAGGCAGTATACTTACTTTCTCTAGCTTGCGCATGACAGCACATGGGTCCTTGAACTGTTGGCTGTTGTTTTGTGCAAATCACATCCCTGTGTTGTTACTCCCTTAATTCAGACATGGCAGGAAAACGCCCCGAAATGGGGCATCACTGGGTTATTTGCCATACAGGATACAAAAGAGGCAGTGCTATCTCTTGTGCACTTTTAAATAACATGCGTTGTTATTAACTGCAAATCCAGTTTTGTTCACAGTTAGACTTATTTAAATCAGTGGAACATAAGTTAGTGATGTTGAAGCTCCATCGATTTCAATTAGTTTGCTGTAAGCATAACTCAGTTTGGATCAACCCATTATTTTTAGCTGTCAAAACTTTTACCAAGGGCAGTTTTTTAAATAGTACAAAGGCCACTACTGTAGGTATCTTTGTTCCCCTTAGTATGTAAAGCAGCATTTGAGGAAATGACCAGTCCTGTTTTTTGGTAATAAGACAGTAATAATAGAGAACAACATGTTCACAAAGCTCATCACCATTATCAATTACTTTGTCAAGGAGTCCTTTTATAGACCCTTTGAAAGTGCTTGAACTCTAGGACAGTTATAGCAAAAAGCTTTACCCAGGAAAAAGCTGTTGCTGGCAATATTTATTTTTAAACACATTACCTTTACTGCTTTGCAAAGATGAAAGCTAGGATGGCTAACAAAATCTACAAGATAATACAGATGACAGTAAAAGTGATACATATGTTACATTATACAATTGGAACACTTTACAGAAAGTAAAATAATAAGCACTAGCCTAAACAAAAATGTTTTGACCTGCTTCCTAAAAAAGCAGGTCCGCTCTTGTAGGCCTGCCATTGTAATGGTGTAAATTCCATAGTTAGTATGTTCCTACCCCAAAGACCCTGTTCCCAGTCCCAACAATTCATGGTGGAAATGGCCTGCAGAATTTATTGGGGAATGTGTTCCCTCACTTGTGATTCAGTGAGATCACATAAGCATTATTGATCATGTGTAGTCATTTAAATTTAATCAGGAAGGAAATGTGTGGCCAACTCTCAGGATGTGAGGTTGTGGCAATTTCATTTATATCCTACTGTGTCCTTCCAACATTTAAGCACTCAATATATAACAATATATAACAAACTCAATTAATATATAACAAGCAATATCAAATAGAATACAAAACAGTAGAACAGGTGCCACAGATTAATGCAGCCCTTCAGGTAGACCATAATCTACCCACCATTATCTGCTGTTTTTGTAAAGACTTCCAGGCTAGCCTCAGATGTCGTAAAGAGTTGCCAAGAGACATGGATGATGTTTGTTAAGTTCTTGCTCTCCTGGAAAGAGGAGCAGCTGGTGTGTCAGGTGTTATTGGAGATATGAGGATAGTACCACGTCTAGAAATAGATTTAGAAAATTACATTTATAATGGCATGTTTACCTGTATTTGTTCTTTTCTATACCACCTATATGAATACATTATATGAAAGATGGTTCCAAAATATTTAAAATAAATTAATACATTTAGTCAAAGCCCCAGACCTCTGAATCTGGAAGGTTAATGTTTGCCATTATTTAATTAAAGTAAGGATCTAAGGGACTCATTGTAATACCTGTAGTACATGCTAAACTGACCTGAGCTTTTCTTAGTGTCTTCTGATGTTTATAAAAAAATTCCATTGGGATTTTTTTCTTGTCATCACACTTGTCAAATAATATTACTCAGCTTTTGTTTCTTGCTACTCTCATCCCTCTTGGATCAAAACTCAAATGTCTTCTAATTTCGACATGTTCCAGTTGTTGGGTAGCTGTCATTCTGTAGTACACAAAAATTCTTAGCATAGCATCTTGTCTGTTGTGTGATACAAGATAAATCCAGTCCCCGGGTTAAGAATGAGTTCTGTTCCTGAGAAGTCAAATTTGTATATAAGTCAGATCACATATATAAAAAGCATATAAAACACTTAACATATGTACTAAACAACTTAAACACAATACAGCATTTTAATGATGATAATAATAGAGTAGGAATAAAGTACAGGTACTGAAGAAAGAGAATCCAGTTTTGAACAAGTAAAACCTTATGCTTTCCCAATGACTGATGGCATCTCACCTTTCTCTGATCACTTTATTATTTTCATGTTAGTTTCAATCATGATTGTTTTTCTTTTCTTTGATGCATCACCTGCACTTGCATTGGATTTACACTAGTTCTGACTTTGCTGCTTGCTGCTTTTTCCCTCCTCCTTCCCCTTCCCTCCTTCCTTCTTCTCCTTGATGCCTGGTGCCTGTGGGTGCTTGCCACTCACTGCCCACCACCCACAGGTACCCACTTGCCGCTCAGGGACAAGGCAGGACTTCCAGGTTTGCTTGTTCATAAGTAGGGGTTGTTCTTAACTTGGACATTTGTAACTGGGACACTGGGTGTATTGTGACACTGGGTAATTGGCCTGCTTGAGAGAGAAATTATGCATGTGCTTTTTTAACTTTTGCACAGTGTGGATGAGGACACTTCCTGGGATGTGTGGATATCAGCTTCGCGTCTTTTCATTGTTTTGTTTATTGAGTCTATAAATGAGTAACTTGGGTCCTATAGTACAGGACTTGTTATATTGCTCTTGCTTTTACCATTTTACTTGCTTTTTAACCTCTTTTTGTTATATGCACCCTTCCACTGTTCTCATTTACAGGCTACAATCTTATCCTCATGTCTATGGGAGTTAGAAACATTGAACTTGTGTGATACAGTCTGAGTAAATATGCCTAGGATTGCCTTGTTAAATATTTGTCGTACTGGTCAAAAGAATCAGTTCAGTTAACCAAACTTATTATGTCACCAGCCGTTCTCATCTCAGAACTTTATTCTGGTATTATTTTCAGGAGTAAAGGTTCCTCGCAATTTTCGACTGTTGGAAGAACTTGAAGAAGGTCAGAAAGGAGTAGGAGATGGGACAGTTAGTTGGGGTCTTGAAGATGATGAAGATATGACACTTACAAGATGGACAGGCATGATTATTGGGCCTCCAAGAGTAAGCATCAGATTAAAGTTATGAAAACCACTGCTCTGTAAATCCATGCTGCCCTTACAAAATGCATATTCCATCTATATTAATACCAGCGTGATTGGATTGATTCTTTTTTCTGCTTCTGATTTTGTTGTATAGGTTTTAGTCTAATAGTGTGAACTGTGTAGTATAGAATGTTGTACATGTAGGACTTTTGTTTGATATTGAAAGTAGATTGATGTTAACCCATGTTTCTCTCTCAGTCTGTCTGTCTCACAGTCTCTCACATTCTTTCCCTCCCATTGGTATAGCCATGTAATGTGCAGATTTAAAGTATAGTGATAAATTTGCTGGTAAAACCTAATGCAACTTCTTACTGGACATTGCCAGAATTTTCCTCTGCCCAGTATACAACTTGTATTTATCCTTGCCTAATATATTAGCTTTTTGATATATTGGAAACAGTCCCACACAATGCCAAACCATGGTTTAGCTCTGCATGCAAAAATAAAAAGGGACTTGGACACAAAAAGTGGCAAAGTGATGCTCTACACTTGCCTTGTCCTTCTCTTTTCTTTCTGCATGACTAGGACAATATATAAACCAGAAATCAATTTCATTTTACTGGATTCGTGAGTTGTTGCTAAATCTGAACGCCCAACAATAAACTACCAACAACCCCTGCGTTGTTTTGCTGGCTTGTTTAATAAACTAGAGTTTTATTATTCTACAGTTCCATGATACTGCATAACAATAAATGAGGATGCTGCGAACATGAGACTAAATTCTGGTTTATTTCTCCTTCTGGCTACTTGAGAGGAAAAAGAAGAGCTGCTGGAAAAGTATATTGGTCTGGCAGTTCATATGGGCTCCTTTTTGCTTAGCATTATGTACTGTACAAATTTTTAGGGATGCAGTACATCCCTTTAGTGATAGCCTCCACAACAATAAAATACCTGACTCTCTTGTACCGTGTCTAGAAGAATAAGATGATTAATGCCTGCTAGTCCCAGTGATGATGTGCCCCCCATATCAGAGGCAGTACAACTCTGCATCACAGTTACTGAGAAACAGGAGTAGGAGGATACTCTTGCACTCATGCCTTACCTGTAAATTTCATACAGTCAGCTATATGAACAGAATGGTGGACTAGATCAGTGGTTTTCAACCTTTCCACAGCTGGGGACCAGAGAAAACAGGAAAACCACCTCAGGGAGGAACAAAAAGCACTGTAAACATAATACAGTATCCTGTGCATTAGTTTCTAGACACAATTCCAACAAAACCCCCTGAAAATTTTCCAACCAGAAACCAAGCAACAAAAAATGCCTACAAAAGAACAAAATACCAAATTTGGCACAGTGTGGCTCCCAGCTGGCTTCCACCCTGCCCCCCCCCCCCCCCCCGGTGGCACTGGCATACACAAATATGACACCACTGAGGAAGTGGTCGTGGATCATAGCCAGCCCCTGCGCTGGTCTGCAGTGAGCAGGATGTGGCCCTCCCATGGACCAGCTAACCCCCCCACCCCATGGACTGATTGTTGAAAACCACTGGACTAGATTAACCTTTCACCTGATCCAACATGGTTGTTATGTTATAAGGAAATGGCACCCCTTTGCATCATAGAAACATCACTAAATTCTCTGCTAAGCTAAATAGTAATGTAGTAAAATCCCATATAATTCCCTCCCACTTGCACACACACTAAATTTCAGTCTCAAAATTTAGGGCAGGTGATGGTAACAGTGTTCTCAGGTACCGCCCTCGCCCTTTGCCCTTGCCCACATCTGTTGACTATACAACTGAACAGCTATAGCTGAGCCATGATCATCCACCATAGACACAAATCACCCACACATTTACACACAAGATACCATATAATGCATGCAGGTGCTCTTGCCTTGGTCTCTTGCTCCTTCAGCATCCTTTCTCAGGCAGGTTAACTTATTTATTTAAAACATTTGTATGCTGTCCTTTACGACAATCATCTCAGGACGGCTTACAGCAAATAAAAACAATCAACAGAATAATACATATGTTTGTTGTATAAAACAATACAAGAAAATAATATATAACCAATAAAATAAATCAAAGTGACTGTTATTAAAATTACTAAATTTTAAAATAACGTTTAAATAAAAAGCTTTTAACCTGGCACCAAAAAGAATATAGGTTTAGCACCAGGCAAACCTCTGGGGAGCACATTCCACAATCTGGGCGCCACCACAGAGAAGGCCCTACTCTGAGTAGATGTCCTTTTTACCTCCTTCAGGGAGCGTTCCTGGAGCAGGGCCTCTCCCGCAGATCTTAAGGTGTGTGAGGGCATATAAGGAAGGAGACGTTCCTTTAGGTATCCTGGTCCCAAGCCGTTTAGGGCTTTATAGGTTAAAACGAGCACCTTGAATTGGGCCCAGACTTCAACTGGAAGCCAGTGGAGCTGGTAGAGGACCGGAGTTATGTGAAAGTAACAGCCGGTCCCTGTCAGCAGCCTGGCAGCAATATTTTGTACCAGTTGAAGTATCCGGACTGTTTTCAAGGGCAGCCCCACATAGAGCACGTTACAGTAATCCAACCGGGAAGTTACCAGAGCATGAATCACTGTTGCTAGGCAGTGCTCGTCCAGGTAAGGACGCAGCTGATGGACAAGCTGAAGCTGTAGGAAAGCACTCCTTGTCGCTCCCACCACCTGGGTCTCTAGTGACAGCTCCAGATCAAAGAGTAACCCCAAGCTGTGGACCCTGTCCTTCAGAGGGGGTGCTACCCCGTCCAGGACAAGGTCAAAATCTGAAAACCCGAATGGCCCACCAACAGGACTTCCATCTTATCTGGATTGAGACTCAATTTATTGGCTCTCATCCAGCCTATTACCTGGGCCAAGCACCAAAATAATGTATCCCAAATCATCCTCTTCTACCCATTTTCTTATTTTCCCTGTCACTTAAAAAAAAATCCAAATGGTGTTTAGGTAAATTCTACTTATTAGGTTTCACACAAGAACCACAGGAGTAGCAGTTGGGCACAGCTGGGGGTCCTGAGTCATCTCCTCCAACCTTGGTTCTTCCACAGGTATCTGAGGGACACCTTGGGAGCGCTCAGTTTTTCCCCTGGAGCTGCTACAAGCTGTTCCATGCTCGCTATGGTTTGTCATTTTATTTTTAAATTCTTGTTTTTGAAAATCACAAAAGCTGCCTGTGAACTACCTGTTTTTGGCCATCTGAAAACTGCCCCTCTCTCTCCCAAGGAGCCTCAGCTGTACCTTTAGAGACAACTCAAGGGCACATAGAACTCTGTGAACTGCAAAGGGTGATTATGAGGCATACCTCCCCTGCTCCAAATACCTTTAAAGAATGCTTTGCAAGGTGCTGCAAATTCAGCATGGTTCCACTCTATCTCACCCCAAGTTGTTCACTAGGCGTCTTAACTTTTCTGTGTTCCTGAAGAGGCTTGGTCTGGATTTGGCCTCTAATTCATCATTATTTAGAACACACATGAGCTTGCATCTGCTTCATCCCACCGTGCAAGCAGAATATATGTTTGTTTGAGTAGGGAGGACTGCGGATTCTCGCCGCTGTCACCTGTCTGAAACCCTCCATGTTCCCTTGAAAAGGCTTCTGAATGGTGGGAAATTGATACAGGGCAGTGTTTTGGCAGGAGAAGGTGCTAAAGGGAGGAAATGGGTAACTCACTCAAAGACGTGCAGGTGCAGTATCTTCTGCTCCAGCCACAGAATCTTTGGATTCAGTCAGTGATTTAGCAGAGAGCCAACTTGCAGCTCCCTCATTCCCAGCTGTACCCATTGCTCCCTCATGTTTTGACTTCTGTTCACCAAAAAAGCAAAGCATGTTCAGAAGTGGGTGGAAGCTTGCGTGGGGACTTTAATGATAGGTTAAAAAGAGGAGACAAAGTGCTCAATGACTTAAGAGATGAAATGGAACATTTGACCATTGTATTAGACATGCATTTCCATCTGTTCTGCCCAATTTTTTTTTTTTGGGTGGAGGGAAGGGTTATCATGAAATCAGTGCATAAAAAGAATGTGGGTAAGAGAAAGGAAATGTAGTTTTGCTTATGCATAGTTGGTCTTTCTGCAGATCCAGCAAATGTGGCCTTCCTTCAGTGATAGATTACTTGACACAGATATTTCTTTGTTTTCTCCATAGACAATTTATGAAAACAGAATATACAGCCTTAAAATAGAATGTGGGCCTAAATATCCAGAAGCACCTCCATTTGTAAGATTTGTAACAAAAATTAATATGAATGGAGTAAATAGTTCTAATGGAGTGGTAAGTTTTTTACTCTTTCACTATCCTAGCATTGCTTAAAACAAATACTGTTTTATTGTCAGTTTTGGGGAGAGAATAATACATCTGCTTTGTATCTACCAGACAAAGTAGGTTAAGTTCCACTAATTTAATGGATCTACTCCTCTATTGGATTTTACCCACAGCTGTTTGTTAGTTAAATCTCCATGGAACATTTTTTAGTGTAAAGCCAAAGAAAAATTCCACAGATGTTTACTGATAGAAGAATTTTAGTTTGTCCATCTTTTAACTATTACAGTTTAAGCTGATTCGGTGCATGCCAGAACTTCAGCATAGGTACCTTCTTTAGGAACAGAAAGAAGTTTGCGAACATTCAGTTTAATAAAAGCTGCTTATAGAAAAGACTCTTTCTTCCTAAGACCAGATGATGGTAGGAAACAAGGACCAACATAGCATAAAAAGCAAATATGTCTCTACTTTTCAGTTGTTACCCATTTATCTTGGCTTCCACTAATTGATTTTCTGAACAAACTTTCCACAGCCTGGTACCCTCCATATACGCTGGACCTCAGCTTCACTCAGCATGACTGTGGCTGGAGATGATATGGAAGGAATAGTCCAAAACAAATGGACAGCACCAGGTTGAGGAAGGCTGTTTAACTCTTTAGTTGATTAGTCTCCTGACTAAAAAAGCATGTGGCCTTAGGCAAACATGCAAAGAGCTTCTTCAGGCATGTACAAAGGCTTGGGCATACCTAATATGATCTTTGTTTATCTTTTCTGCTTCGAACTCTCCATGCTATATCTAAAACTGGCGTTCAGTATCCTCACAGTTGCAAAGGAATTGCACTATATAGCATTGATGTTGTCCTTGTATTCCAGAAACACATATCAGAAGCCTCCTTCTGTAAATTGTGTACTATTTTAAATCCTGGTCCTGACCCCTTTCAGTGTTTAAGTAGGTAGGGAAGAAGAAGCTCTTTGAGTCTGATGGTTGTGGTTTTCTATTTGTTCCTAGGTGGATCCAAGAGCCATATCAGTCCTAGCAAAATGGCAGAATTCTTATAGTATCAAAGTTGTTCTGCAAGAGCTCCGGCGTCTAATGATGTCTAAAGAAAATATGAAACTCCCTCAACCACCTGAAGGACAATGTTACAGTAATTAATGAAAAACAGAAAAATCATGCCCCTTCATTCAATTTAAGCGCTCTTCATTTTTCACAGTAGTAAATTTTCTAGATGCATCTTGTAGACCTCCAAGTACTGGAAAGGAAGTTCCCATGCAAAGGAAAGTCTATCTTGAGATACTGTACATGATACTAATTTTTTCCATTTGAAATTAAGTTGTGCTATAACAAATAATGCTGTCATGTGTAACCACTGTCCACATAGTTGAACTTCTGGTATCAAGAAAAGTCTATTTAAATTTATTACTGTCAAGACCAGTGTGGCACATTGAACTCAACTGTGAAAAGCATAAAAAACATACATCACACAATCACATTGCTGTGTGTTTGGCCTGGGTTTATATCTTCCCCCCGTCTCTCCTCCCATTTTCCCTTCTCTCTCCCCCCCTCCTCCCCCCCTCTTTCTCTCTCATGTGTGTGTGTGTGTTGTGTGTGTGTTTGCAATAGAGTTTGATGCTCAGGGCTATTTATTAGAGTAGACATGAAGGGCATAATCCATGGGGAAGTTCTCTTGTACAAGCCCCCTCCCCCAAAAAAGAACTGGGACTGCAAGAGTATTGTCATGCTTTTGCCTAGCTCTCATTAATTCCAGTAGGGCATGCTCAGGATAATGTCCCAAAAGGATTGTGCCCAAAGGTTTCAATTCCCAGTCCTAGGCTGGGCTGTATGGACTACTAATGGGATGTGTTGGTATCCTCAGTCATCCCTCCCTTTGTGCAGGCTCTAGTAAAATGCTGAATGTGTCTGGGGTTGGTTTTTATTTTCTGATTTTTTAAAGAATGCTAATAGTAATTTGGGGCAAATTCTTTCTCCTGATAAGCATTGGCTAAGGCATAGATTGTATTCTGCACCATCCCTTCCCCAATATGTGGGCCTTGGGACAATAGAACTGGGGGTCTTTCAGTCTTTCCTCTCTTCCTTTGGTCATAGTTGGGGTGCTGCTTTCCTTTTGCCCCTTCTATGATGCTTTCCTTTACACCTGGCCAAAAGAGGTAAGTGACTGGCAAACCGCCTGATTTTTTATTATTATTGTTATTGTTATTATTATTATTTTTGCTTCATGCTTGTCAACCTTTTTTGTTTGCAGGTGGAGACTATAACTGTAGTCTTCACCAGCTGAAAAAATAAGACTGTCCGTTTTTGCTCGGAAGTATCCTTTCCCTCCTGCCCTGTAGCGCTGCTTCCACACCGCCAAGCTGGCCATGGCTGATGTTATTAGATAGGCTTTTGATATGGTGAAAAGAGCAGTAATTTACCAGGAATGCTTAAGCCATTAAGAATGGCCAAATATTGTGGAAAAATATCCATGTAGAAATTTGAAACAAATACTCCAGCTCTTTGAGCTGAAGGTCACTACCTCCGCTCGAATGCCATGTTAACTACTCATCGGTGCGTGTAACGTTTGGCCCTGTAACAGCCTGCCAATGCTGAGACTAATCCACTCTGTAAAGAAGAGATTTTGTTTTGACACTTTGCAGACAGGAGGACTCCTTCCTAGAGAACAGGATGGCAATGCCATGCCTAATCATTTAGGGGCCATGATTGGCAAGGCTTCCTGGCAAATCACTTCCTTTTCAGACTTCTTCTTTTGGACCACTGACTGCTGAAATGTGGATGCAAGCTTACCTGCAAACAATCTAGTGTGTCCTCTTAAGTTTTATGAAATAAAAAATTCAGTGTTTGTGTAAAAAAGAAAAGACAAAAGTCACGTTTAAAAGCAGAAGCTATCAAGTCAATGAATAATTGATGTTTCCATTAACTCTTTCAAGGAAAAATACTAGTTGTAAGGATTTAACATCCTGTGTAATTAAAAGATTTAACATAACAGTATTCCATAAGCAGCCTTTTTATTGTATCAGACCATTGCCTGATTTTAATATAATAAAAAGTGTGCATTAATATTATTGTGCTGTAATCGTATTTGTGTTTAGAGTGGGAATCCCTGATAATGCTGGGCATGAGGGAAGCTCCCCTGTGGGAGCCCAATTGGAATCATTACTGAAACCTGTGGAACAGTGTAGCAACCTCCATGCATTTTGGTGGAATTCATTTCCCCTCTGATTTTTATTATTGCTACTAAATTTTACTTAGCTGTAGACTTCAGAAAATAATGGAATTATAATATCTATAATTTAGGCATGACTTCAGAGCCTGTTTGAAGAAGGAACATGTATGAGTTGGTGGAAGATGTCACAGCAGCAAAATGACTGGAATTTAGTGATTCTAGATTTTAATTTACTTTTTATTCCATGTGTATGCCATCTTTCCTTCCAATCGTCTTAGCCTGCAGTCTTCTACATATTTGCCTGGAGTAAGTTCTAGAGCAGTTATTTTAGAGTGAGTACATAAAGACTTCCACTGTTAGATGAGGTTTCCCCATAGTCTCCCATCCAGGTATTGATTAAGCCTGTATTAGGTCTCTAGTTAGAACTATGTCAGACAATTTTCTGGGCTGTTCTTTTTAAGGAAATGCTTTGAGTAAATTTATTTATTTTATTTATTTATTTATAAAATTTCTATGCCGCCCCATTCGCCGAAGCCTCGGGGTGGCTCACAAATAAATCAATTAAAATACTATAACAATATAAAACAAGTTAACAATATAAAATAAGTCACCCATAAGTAATGGGAAAAGTTACAAGAATCTTTCCAACTCATGCTACCTGAACATAGGACATAAACTTTAGGGGCTATATGACCTCCAGCTGCTAAAGAATAGTACACAATTTTGCTTCTGTTGACTCTGTACCTAATGTGCTACTTAAAATTAATTTCCATCTTTGCTGATTTAAAAATAATTATGTTTCTTTTTTACTTCAGCACTCTGCCTTCCAAGGGAGATGTGTGTTCCAGTAGGGTTGCAGGCAGAAACAAGTAACAGTTAGAGGGTTTTTTATTGGTTAATGAGTCTCCCACCAAGGTCTTTCTACAATCCATCCTGGGTGCATCCTACAATCTGCTCTGCTCCTAGTGAGGCTAAATCCAGTTCACTCCATCTTAAGAAAGCTACAAAGTACAGATTTGGGGGCAGCAGCATCATGCCCAGCTGTACCTTTCTCAGCCTTACTTTGCTTAGAATCCCATCTGATGTCAGAATTCTGAAGAACTGGGAGGCTTGCTCAGATGTGATAATTTCTTTGCTCTTAATGCAGATAGTAGCATACTGTTGGCCTTTCTAATAGGCCAATTTGACTTTGCTATAATCCTTGCATTTTAAGTGGCTGGGGAAGCCTTGTTGTGATTAGTAAAAACGTGGTTCTTAACTTGCTGCACAGAAGTAGGAGTGCTTAGCGCACAAGAGAGAAAATTCAGTTCCTGGATATGTGACTTGTTTCCTATTCTTCTTGCAGGCCTAGAACAGATTGAACCATACTTCTATCAGCCAAAGATGTTCCTCCAAACCCCACTCTTTGGCGACAAGCAGTGAGTGACTTGGCAGGCAGTGGAAGGACAAGCTGCCCTTCCCACTGCTGGACATAAGCATTCATGCAGTGCATGCTGCCTCCAACCAGTGACTCAGATGGTGCTACGAGGAACAACTGTGCCTTCCAGCAGTGCTCAGAATCCCTTTTCTGCGCATCTTAGGGCAATGCTATCAGTGGGCAGTGACAGCAGGGAGCCAGCAGAGGGTCCACTCAAAACTGGACGTCTGCCTTTGCTGTAGGGACTATCCATCTGTCCATCATCTCTGTAACACAGGTACTCCTTCTCACTGTCGCTGAGTGGGTGGCATAGTAGCAGGGAAGTGATGTCTTAATTTAGGATCATGGTGGTGGAGAAAGTGAAAGGCCTTTTTCCGAGCACTATCACCACCATAATGATCCTAGTGCACACCCAGTTTTCCAGCAGAATTACTAATTTTGCTGGAAAGCTGCACAGAGATGGTCCTCTAGTTGTCCTGTGCCATGATGGTGGTGGCAGTGCAGCTGGAAAGGACTTGAGGACAAAGGCCTCTGCAGCAGAAGCAGTGGCCTCCAGGCATGGGTGTCATTGTTGTCCTCCTCTGCTGCAGCACCAAATGCCTTTCGTTCCCAATAATAATGAGTATTGATAATTCTGTGTTCGATGGGTTGTGTCATGTTGGAATGAACAGCCAGCAAGATGCCTCTATTACCATTTCAGTGTTTGGGGTCTGAATTTAGATTTCTGTGAATTCCAGTTTGACAATGAGTGGTCCAACATTGTATAGATAGTAACATTGGGCAGTTTTGATAGGTTGTCTTGGCTACAGTCTTCTCTGGAAACCCCAAAATAAGTTTTCCTAGCAACTCTGTGAATAGTGCAGTATTCCGAGATGGGGGAGTATTTTGCATACCTGTTATTTCCTAGTTTGACCCACTGTTTTCAAATGCTGTCTGATGCTTCTGATGAATTTTCCATTTTAGCATGTTCAGAGTGAAGAAAGCTATGAGCAGCTTGTGCTATCACGTCCTGCAGAATTGCAGGAAGATTGTTCTAAATCTGTATACAGTGGTACCTCGGCTCACGAACTTAATCCATTCCAAGTCAAATTTGATGTTCTATGTAAATAAGGTCAATCCGTTCTGACCCCTACGAATGTGGTCGCAAGCCAATTTTGGTCACGAGCCAAGTCAGATTTCCGCATAAGGTTCAATGTAAATAAGGGTAATCTGTTTGGTAAATATTTTTTTTAATCACAAAATTTGAAACAAAGTAACAAAGAACAAAAAAGTACAGTACAGTAGAGAACACTAACCTGGAGGGGGGGGGAGGTTATTGTTTGGAGGGAGAGACTCCATTAGGACACCGGGAAGATCTCTTTCAGGGGTTTCCTCTCTTCTTTGTCTCTTAGCTGCAGGGTCAATTTGGGTGAAAAATCTGCATGTTTTGTCACCTTTGCATGTTCTTTTTACCACCGTGCTTGCTCTGCACTTTATTTGGAGCCACTATTCAATAAGCTTCACAGCAAATGACTACAAGTCCGTGTGCCACCACAAGCGGGGAAGATGGCCGTGATCGTGTGGATGTGGGGTTCGTGACCTGAGGCAATTTTTTTCTGAAATTTCTGTTCGCGACCCGATTTGGTTGTGAACTGAGGTGTATGTGAACCAAGGTACCACTGTATGGGAGTAGTTATGTGTTACATATGTTTGTGCTGACTTTAGGATATCGATTATGAAAGATGGAAAATGTCTGTGCCAACCTAGTAAACTAGGGTATTACCCTGTCTTTTCAGATAGGTATTGCTGTACAAAAGTACTTATCCAACCACAGAAAACCCTAAATACCACATTAGGCATGTTTTGCACTGCATAAACAGGAGTCTTAATATAAATGATCACTGAGAAACAAAGCTGAAGCTTCCAGAAACCTAAATGCAATTTGTTTCAAGGTTTAGCACGTCATTTCAACATGAGATTACCTTTTGCCATATTCTGGTTTTGTAGACGAGCAGCAGCACAGAACACTGGGAAAGAGACCCTCTGAAGAAGAAGAACATCCTTGCTGTTCTCTCCAATCTGACATCTTCTGCACTCCCATGCTTCCCACTAGAAGCATGAGAGCCAGAAACATGAAGCCTTGTTGAAAATAGAGAAATGCAAATTTTCTTGATTTGCATTTTTTAAATAAACTGGTATAACAGAACACCCACTTTAAATAAATAAAAATAAACACATCATTGATTGGCATATACTAAAATTTGCTTTATCAGTGGAATGCAAGAACAATGTGGTCCTTTTCCATGCACCATGGTAGTTACAAGTGGAAAACTGCCAATACCTGGTTGGGTGTGCATTCTTGACATGGAGTTAAGAATGCACACCCTGTTGTGGTTGAAACAAATGAAGCCGTAAACCTGTATTGGGAACCTAAGCTTTGCATTCCTCACCAGTAGAGGGTGCTAGAGAACTTTACAGCAAATGCTCTCAAGACTTGCCAAAGTTTTGTCACTGCAGTCCACTTCTCTGAGTAAAGCAACATTTTCTGATTTAATCAGTTTTAGCAATTTCAACACTACTCTCAAGTTGAGGGGGTTGAATCACCCCCTCTCCTTCTGCTTTAAAAGAAACCTGCATTGAGGGAAATGCAAAACCCTCATTTGTCAAATTAAGCTTTCCCATATTTAGTTGCTTGTCCTTTTGAGGGTAAAATTTGTAAGTCTTTGCAGATGTTAGTATTGTTTCTAATCCTCACCAGATCGGGCCCTTCATCCCAAGTCAAGTCTCTGTACTGTGCATTGATATCTGCTGACAGGATAAAGCAGCATTCCCCATCCTGGTACCTTCAAGATGTGCCATTATTCCCAGGGAATTATTTTTGTCCCACCACATTGACTGAACTAGCACCAATATTAAGCCTATTTAGAGTAGACCTATTGAAATGAATGGAACTTCAATTCATTTAACATTGGATACAATACAGAGTCTCATTGTCAGACTTGGAAATAGCCTCAGTCAGGGGTGAGCCACTTCTGAATTCCTCGACATCGAATGCCCAGTTCTCATCAGTCTCAGCCACCATAGCCTATGGCAGGGGATGATGGAATTGTTGTCTAGAAGGAGCCAAGTTGTCCATCCCTGCTCTGTCCCATTTTTTAGACTGGGTAGCACTTCTCACAACTTCTCAAAGTGGATTGTGTAGTAAAAGACAGCATACAAGCTCATTTATACAGAAATCTTTTGCAATCCCAGCAGGGAGAATCTTTCACATATGGATCTTTGCACAAAGGAACAGACTTTCTTGTAGCATCTGCTTTGTTTTGTATTAGAACTCTGTGAACCTTTTGCAAAACACATGTGCTTGCCACGAAGTAATGCTGAGCCTAAAATTTTATTTTGCATTTCAGAACTAAATGGCACTCTGTAGTCCTTCCACACAAAAGCTTGCTTCTGGTTGCCCCAGGCTTTTCATTTCATCAATATAACTGAGAATAGGAGGGAGT